ATATATTATAAGGGTTGTTTCCAGCTACTCAGATCAGATTAAGACTTTTGGTTAGAGTCTTGTCAGTACAAAGCTGATTTTAAATTTGCAGATCAGGGTTGTAAAATAAAGTTATTCATTGGTTGTTATAACTAAACATACCTTAAAATTAAGATTATTCCAACACTGAGAGTGTAACGAACCGACATAACAATTTACAAAAGAAATCCGGATAATAAATAAGTTAGTCTCTTTTCAGCTTCTCAAACTACTAAACTACTTATAGGCTTGGCTGGAGTCTAGTCTAGCAGAAACTTTGTAAAACTGCAGATTCAGTTTGTAAAACAAATATAATATTATTTGTTAGTTCAAAGTTGTCACAATAAAGCATGTATAAAACAGATAGTTTCGGTCCAACACTGAGAGAGTAACGACCAACATAAAAACGTACTACAGATATTTAGATGCCAAAGAAGCTTCTCATATCACAAATAGGCTTAGCTAAAGTCTAATCAGTACTCAGTGCATCTTCAGACTTAGAATGTAAAACAAAATTATTTGTTCGTTGTCACAAATAGATATACCTAAGAATTTAACATATTGAGACCAACACAGAGAGTGTAACAACGGACATAACACTTTGGATGACAAAGAAATAAGGCTGTTTCAGCCTTCTTAGATCCATTAGAGTCGGGTCTATACAAACGTGCTTGTACTATTTGAGACTCAAGCAGCAACATGTTGCAAAACAAACTTATTTGTTGGCTTTCAAACTAGACACACACCAAATTAAATAGATGATGTGTAACAACCGACATAACATCTTATAAAAGAAATTTGTATGATAAAAAAGGCTGTTTACAGCATCTCTGACCGTTTCTAGGCCTGTCTAGTGTCTAGTCAGTACAACGTTGCTTGTGAAATAAGAGACCAGCGTTGTGAAAAACAAATTGTGTCTTGATTATTACAACTAAACATGCTTAAAAAGTAAATAGATTATGTCTAACACTGAGAGTGTACCGATGGACAAAATAAGAGACAAAAGAAATTTGGATGACAAACAAAAATAATGTTTCCAGCTTCTCAGACCAAAATTAAGCTTGGTGAGTGGATGATGGGTGCTCTGGTGTGGTTTGCAGCTTCTTTCCTATCAAACATCTATCGTCCCTATCTCTCCTCTTTCTTTTTTGTGTATGTTACTCTCTTGTAACACGTCTATTCGTCGGCACTTATATGACCTTATTGTGTCGCAAGTGCCGTAAAACACTTACTGAAACTTAAAAAACAACAACAATTAAGCTTGAACAGAATCTAGTTAGTACAAAGTTGTGTATAAAATAGCACATAATGGTTGTAACACAAAATTATTCGCTTATTGGCACAACAAGACATACACCCAAAGTGTAGCGACCGACATAACAACGTACTAAAACAGTAGTTCTAAATGATATAAGTTGTGTCAATGGAATCGTACAAAACGCATTCATTAAATCAAATTAAGAAATGAAAAAAATAAATAAATAAATAGCACATGTCCCAAAATAGCCCGGTCTTCGAATAGAATACGTCTATAAATAGCAACAGTCTTAAAACAGAACGAGTCTTTGAATCCAGAAATCGTAAATCATTGTTTAAATCTTAGAGACACGAGTCTAAATTTATCACACGTCTATGGACAACGCTCCGGCGTGCTGGTCCCTACCTCTAGCGGAAACTTCCGGCCGTCCAACGCATGCTCGCTGCCTACGTCATCCGTGCTGCCCCAGTGAAAGTGGAACTCCGCCGTCTTGTAGGTCCCAGGTAACCCTCCACCCCTTACCCGCATTGGGCTCGTTACTCGGACACTGGCTGTAAGGGGGGGGGGGAGTGGTAAAGAATAAAAAGTTCAGAACAAGTGGTGAAAGAAATACGCACCATTGGAGAGAGAGAGAGAGA